AACCCCCCTTCAACGCGCATACACCCCCTCCATTAACTTCAGCACCATCGTCTCCCACCCAACCCCCCTATACCCCATACCACAATCTCACATCCTCCACGACTATGGAACACCGCCCCCTCAAGCGCCGCCGCAGCACCTCCAGCATCAACGACCACAACGATCCATGCCGGAAACGCCAAAAACTGTTAGCGTCGGTATTTAAGCAACTTCAACGGACGGCCGAAGAAGTCAGATGCGCACTCAACGATGCTACCTGGTTGTCTGTGGAGGAACGAGTGCGGGCTGCTTTGATTATTGATCATGTGGAGATGATGTCGAGGATGATGGAAGAGGGTTATGAGTTTGGTGATGGGGATGAGGAGATGGAAGAGGATGATGGGGAGGATGGTGCAGGGGATAGTGGAGATGTTACCAAAGAGGTTGCGTACGGCGATGTTGACACCCCTTTTGGTGAGGATTCAAGTGAATCTTTGGAAGAGAAAGATGAGCATGAGGAGAGTGGTAGAGAGGAGGGTGGTGATGAAGATGGAGATGGAGATAGTGATGGGGAGAAAGAAGACGAGGATTCTTACTCGTCGTGGATAAGGAGGGGAGTGAGCTTTTCAGCGGGTGTAACATGTACGGCATGCACCGAGAATGGAGGTAACTGAAGTGTTTGGGATGGATGCATCGCAACGCGAGATTGTTAGGGATTTGCCCGAGTGACGACGGGAAATTTTTCGCACCAAGTTCTTTCGAATGAAAGACTCTTGTTAACTTTACTTTGTTGCGAGATAGAGCTACGTGCGGAAGGAGCCATTTAGCAGTAGAGATGTTTAAGGGATGTTATGAAAGGGTCTGTGCGTTGATCAACGCGTAACAGGAAGGCAGGATCTGTACCTGCATCACACGAAAACCTTCTTTATGGCACAGCTTGCAATACTTACAAAAAGCCTTGAAACACTAATTTCATGTCTCGACAAGGGTTACGATCCAGACGGCAGATACTCCGAAAAAGCAATAGTCCTCCCTGCCGCGTCCAAGCCCAGACTACGTCATTTCGCACCAGCTCACAACACGTAAAGTCTCCCTCTTACCGCGCGAAAGATCGTACATTTCCTTCTCATTTAGCAGATTGCGACTCTCTTCGTCTTTATCATCAGTCCGAAAGGCTTAATGACTATGGAACCACCTCTCAAGCGGCAACGTGCTGACAGTGCCGACACCGTACCCTCCCATCCGCCTACTACGGCATCAAATGCAAATTCGCTCCCAACAGCAGTACCGCCTGCACCAATCGACACAGAATTTATCAGAACCATGATACACACTCTTGATGAGGGCGCCATGGACGTGCCATTCGCCACGACGAGCTTCAGCCATCGTACCCTCCTCAAGATCGCGAAGAGTGACGCCACAATCGCAGCCACAATCCAAGAAGCCTACGACGCCTACATGGCGAAGGAGAGAAACACAAGCGCCGACTTCAGAAAAGTTCTCGATGACTTCAAGTGGACTATCCCTGGCGTGCGTGGATGTGCGGACGATGCCGTACCGCCCGAAGAGATCCCCGTCTTATCTTCCCAAATAAAGGGTGCATTCTACAGAAGCGTGGCCGAGATTTGCGGGCGAACGCACGACTATTCGTCCCTCGGCACTAAGAAGAACGCGTTGGATGCGCTGAGGAAACTGGGCGTCATGCTAGTCAACACCCCGGACAAGAAACTGCGCGCTGCAGTCGCAGATCGTATCAAAGATGTCGAGAGCCAAGAATACGTCAACGGCATGTACCAAATCGCGCGCCACATAAATGTGGACCAGCGTGAAGAGGTGTGTATGATGCCGGTGAACGAATCAATGGATTTCTTAGCCCGATTGAGAGATGAAGAGTCTGTAGAACCTACAGGGCAATTTCAAGAGAAGTTGGAAGAGCTGCAGAAGGAGCTGAACAATGCGGGGTTTCCTATTCGTTTCAGTATTGTTCACCAGGAGTTGGACGTAACGCCACAGACCATTCAAGATGACATAGACAACGGTGTCGAAGATAACGGAACTCCTGAGCCTGATGATTACTCGGAGTGAGAGGATGCATGGCGGAAAATGCGATTAAACAAGGATAACCTATCAAGCTAAATGCAAGAACTATTCCTACGAACCTTGCTGAACAGCCTTGTTGTTCTGATACTTTTGTTGCTAGCTCACCCCCTCACTCGTGAAGTTTATTTGGGTCGACCCCTCAATCTTGGTGCGGATGCCATCAGCACTACTTGTGATGACTTGCGAACACCCTTAATGAACGTTCTAACATCAGAATCCTTTCGATAGCGCTTTCAAATACTGCAGCAAGCATGGGGCGCACACTTAAGCGACGACGTCTACTTCCCGACAGCGATTCCTGTCCTTCAGACGACCTCTTTTTTTGTCGAAGCCCGTCGCCAGAAGATACGCTACCCCAGTATGACCTCGTTGAAGCCATCCACATGCTCGACAACAAGCCCGGAAACACCCTGAAACGTAGCTACAGCCAGCGTCTACTCCTTCAGCTCGCTGAGGAAGATCCAGCCATCGCGACCAAGATCCGACGATCCCTACATAAGCATAAGGGCGTAGACATCAGCTTCCAGCCATATATCACCGGCGTCAACGGCATCAATGGCAGCATCCGCAGAGCTGCAAATAACATCTTTTACGAAAACGAAGACTGGGCCTGCAGTAGCTTATACTGCGGCACATTCGGGATCATTAAAGAGATCGTCAATGAGGCAGGCAGATACACCTCCTCTTTCGCGACCAAAGAATCTGCCCTACGGACGTTGATCAAGCTCGCCCAAGCTTTGTTGAACATCAAAGACGAGACACTACAGGAATACGCGCCGAGTTATCTCGCCTGCAACAAAAGCGGATTCCGAAAAGCTGTCAGAAGGATCTTCTTCACTATGAACCGAGCAGAGCGGAGGGAGATGTGTAGAATCATGTGGGGAAAACTTACGCTGCTCCAGAAAATGGATCAGCTGGGCGAGAGGCTGAACGCTGCTGGGTTCATCACGGGTTTGGGTCGCGTTGTGGAGCATGTGAGGATATCTCTGGACCCCGATCTTTCGGAACTGATGAATGATGAACAACTTCTTGCTGATGAAGAGCGTGCGGATAGGGAGGCGGAGGATCCAGCATGGCCTAGAGTATCTTTGGAAGAACGGGCTGCGAGAGTGAGGGCTTCATGGCGAGTGGAGTCTGAGTGAGATGCAGGGTGCGAGCTGTAGAGTCGTGTATAATGGCAGAACAGGAGCACAACAGAATGCGCTGGCATTGGTGGTTCTAAATAAGTTAGTAGTATCTCATATGCGTTCTCGCATCATTTCATGTTTAACAAAACGCTGTTGATTGCTCCGCCTTCGTCTTTTGCCACCTAATGTCATTTTGCAGAAGTAGACGTGATTCGCAGTCCAAGCAAGAAGCAAACAAACACCGACGCTCTGATTAGAGACACACCCATCAACCAGGAGGCTAACCTCCTCTTTCTGTTCCCATACCAAGACTTTCGCACGTACAGCCATTCCAGATATGCGCTATACTTCTACGCTGCTATTGAGTAGTACCTTCTAACCTGGGCGGCGCCATACACTCATAGCCCAACTCATGGCCATACTCATGGTCCTGGTCATCCTCATCACTACGATCCTCAGGCCACCTCATCAGCTCCCTGTAAACAGCGTACAAGCCTGGCAATAATCGCGCGTCATCAAGCTCTGCGCACAACTCCAGCATCTTGTCCATGAATCTATTCCCTCCTATTCGTGCAGGTCCTATCATCGCAACTGTTGCGCCGTCAACAGGCATCCGAGCTACGTCCATGCGTTCCCGCTCGGACATGGTTCTGACGATATCGATCATGCCAAGAACGTAGGCGTTGGTGTCCCTTGTGTGAAAATGGGAACGGAAGGCCTTTAGCAAGCGACCATTTGGTGTGCTAACTAGCGCGACACCCAGCAGTCGCAGGGTATCTAGCGCAGACTTCTTTGTGGAAAGTGTCGAGCAGTCGTGTGTTTGACCAAGAACATAGCGCGTGCTTGCGGAGAAGCTGTCTTTGATTTCTATGCACATGAGATTGAGGTTCGAAGAATTGAGCATGGCGACTCTTGCTTTTATGACGGCATTCAGTAGAAGGACGCAGTCTGAGAAGTCAATGGTTGTCCCTTGTTGGGCTTCCATGTAGCCGTGGAAAACGTGCCGGATTGTAGCTGCGATTGCGGGGTCGGCGACAGCTCGGTTGAGCAAAAGCCTCTGGCTAAAACTACATCTCCAATTGCCGCCTGTTATGTCGAGGGTAGCAATGGCGGATCTGAGATCGTAGTCTGGTATGTTCTGGCTCGTTGTTGGGAACGATCTTATGTAAGGTGGAATGTAAGGTGAATCATTTTCACTCTCAGCACGTTGTCGCTTGCGTGGTCGCTCCATTCTGTTACGGTTCGTCGTGAGCCAATGATAGAGTTGATGTAAGTTGCGAGTTCCGGAAGGGAGAGTAAGGATTCGCGCTGACGCGTCGCGAGATAGCGCGACGTGTTGACGCGGTCCAGAATTACGTAATCCAGAAGACCCACCCCAACAGGGGACGCCGTGCTGATCGTGTTTACAGTTTGTGTGCTGAAAATGGTGCCAGGCTTGCGACTGCGCAGGTGCTGCCCGCGTGCATGACATGAGACTATAAGACTACCTAAGTACCTAGGTAGGACTATGCGAGCTGCCGGCGGTAGAAAGCCGTGACCTAAATTGCAAGAACTCGGGCAAAATTACCAAATAAGCACTCAGCCCGAAGACGGATCACAGATCATCCTCTTTTCGCTATCTTTCCTTCGTGTTTGGCCAAGATTCATCGGCTCATCGCGTCGTTTGGGGGGCGCCGTATGAAGTCTAACAGTCCAACTACTCTCCTTCCTTCTTCGACATCTAACCCATGGGCTTTATGCCACAGATATCGCACTTCGTAATATCTGAAGTAGGTCTCACCCCTCGCTGTCTTCTTACGCTTCTTCTTCGCCTTCCCCATCCTCGTCCGTCTCATCCTCACAAGTAAGATTTGTGATCACGTCTTGGAGACCCGTGCAAACGCAGTAATCGTCAGCAGTCTTCTTAAGCTGCTCCATCGCTTCCAAAAACGTTGTACCCGAGTAATCCAGAGCACACATCCTCTCACACTCCTCCACGCTCATCTCGTCAATGACGGCGTTCATCGAGTCTTCCAAAGAGTTGTCGACCTGGAAATGCATACGGATTTGTTTACCGATCTCTTCCTGGCTTTCACAGATCGCCCATCCAATAAGGTACAGCGCATCGAGCGCAGACTGCTTCGTGCCGAAGGGGGCACGCTTTTGAGCGGCTTGTTCAACGATGGTTGTGAAGATTTCTTCTATTTGTCGTATGACGTCGAAAGAGACATTGTATTGCTTCGCACAGCTGGAGTTGATGAACCGCTCGTTGATCCAATAGTCAACCTTCTGGGCGTAACTGCTGAAATCGATGACCTTGCAACGCTCTCGCTCAACTCGCTCAATGTGTTCCTGTTTGCGGCTGCGCAGGGTTGCAGCAATCTCTGGTGTAGCTAGAGCTGCGTTAAGGAGTATTTCCTTGATGAGCCTACCACCGTCGGCTGCATGCAGTTCGTCGATGCATTCTGTGAGATCGGTTCTGGCAAAAAAGTCGGCCATGACAGCAGCCTCGGTGAGAAATCGCTGCGCGATCGAATCACCGTTGGTGTTGACGCGTTGTCGTTTATGTGGCAATTCCATTGCTGCTAGCGATTTCGTAGGGCGTGGACGTAATGGAGGTTGTATCGTGATTTCTGAAGATGCAGTTGTTACGCGTCGCGTCAGGATGTCTAAGATAAACACGCGCGTTGCGCGGAGATACGTTGGGACACACACATGAGAAGCGGGAGCTGTCTCGGAGCGACTAGAGGGACGCGTTTTTATTTTTTGCCGTGTCTCCGTCTCCGGGAAATGAGTATAATGATCCGGGTTAAGAAGTTATTGATCCGGGTCAAAAAGTTATTTGTCCTGGTTAATTAGTTCTCTATCCTGGTCACTTTTGGCGCTAGCGAAAGTTATTAATCCTGGTTAAAGGAACACCAAAATCATGTGACGGTCGACATTGTCGCCTGGCTCGATTCCCTTGCTCTACGCGTATCTGGCATCTTCACGAAGTGTTTTCTGACCAGCTTCAGAGAGACAATCTTGGCGCCTGCCTGCCGAAGGAGATATCGACTAGCCAGGGGTATGGTGCAGCGACTCAGGCGGTAACTCGTGTGATGACGATGGTGGCTTTTAGTGCAGCTACTTCTTCAGTCGCAACCTGCCGACACTTGGAAGGTAGAGACTGCGACTGCTTCGACTGTGTAATGACGATCATACGACGAAGATGGGCGGACGCATTTAGAGAGTCTGTTGAGGTGGCTGGAATACCGCATGTCTGATAGAAACGATGATGCTGCAGCAAGTGACGAGCATGTGGGGCAAGGTGCGACTGACAGCTTATCTCCGGGCTACGCGCCCAACACTCAACGCCTGATTCACATGCAGCGACAACAGTCGAATACAGCGAAGAGTAAGTAAGCGGGTGATGTAGAAATGTGCGAGGTCGGCGTGATACCATCAAAGTGGGCCTGAAGCATGACTTTTGTTAACGTGTTCAGCCTTCCTAAAGCCTCATCTTGTACACACACACACACCTGCCACTCCAACATGAAGCAAGTGGACTCAGATGACCCCAGATTGGGTGGTGCACCCAGCGTCACTCTCCCAGGAACATCAGCCGCCCTCAACGTAGAAGAGTACGCATCGCAACCACAAAGTCACGGTCGCACAGGTTTCCCCAAACAAGGTGGACAGTCACTTTCGTATTGGTTGCAGCAAGTTCGATGCGATCCACTTCTAGACCATCGCACTACCGATGAGTTACCACAAGAAGCCGATACGGTCATGATTGGATCTGGTATCACAGGGACACTTGTCGCGAAGCATCATCTCGAGACGTTTCCCGGAAAGCAAGTGGTCATTCTCGAAGCGCGAGAGTTCTGCTCCGGCGCAACAGGTCGCAACGCGGGCCACTGCAAACCTGATCAATGGCGGGGTTACGGGAAACACGCCAAAGCGTACGGCCATGAGCAGGCGGTCAAGATCTTGGACAACGAGCAAGCTACGTGGGAAGCGTTGGTAGCATACGTCAAAGAGAACAACGTGGAATGCGATCTCTGGGTTGGAGAGACCCTGGACGTTCCCCTGGACGAAGAAGTTGCGAAGATAGCTCAAGAAATATTCGAGAGGTACGCAGAAGCAGGTGGAAAAGTGGACCGCATTCAAGTTACCCACGATCCTATCGAAGCAGCGCAAAAGACTCGAATCAAGAGTGCGAAAGCTTGCTATGCATGGCAGGCATCGACCCTCCAGCCGTGGAAGTTGACTGCACATATCATGCGCAACAATATCAGCAAGGGCGCCAATCTACAAACTCGCACTACTGCGAATTCAATCTCAGACGGGACAGGATCTCGGAGATGGACGGTCCATACGGAGCGAGGAGACATCGCATGTGACACCGTGGTGCATGCTACGAATGCATACAGTGCAGCACTCGAGCCATCACTTCGCGGTATCATCACGCCCAAGCCGCATATGTGCAACAGAGTAGTTCCACCGCAAGCCTTCAGCGGCTCCAAAGCTATTAGCAACTCCTATGGAATCCTGCTACCGAATGGTGCGTTCTTCAGTATCAACCCGCGTTCGTCTTCCGATGGCAACATCATGTTCGGTGGTTCCAATCCAGGCCAAAAGGAACTGGATGCGTGGGTTGAGAAGAACCCAGAAAACTGCATCAATGATGGAATCCCGAACCTGGAGAGTGTGACAAAGCACGTCAGGAACTTTGCAGAATCTGAGTTCGACGGTTGGAAAGCCGCCCCTACAGGTCCCGGGGAAGGCTTTGAGTATAGTTGGAGTGGCATCATCGGGCTGAGTGCGGATGGTGTGCCTTTCATCGGAGAGCTACCCGGAAAGTCTGGTCAATATATCTGTGCCGGCCATCATGGACAGTAAGTTCAATAGTCCACGAAGAGGTGCGAGGCTAACATCGGGACAGTGGGATGGGGCGAATTTTCACAGCAGCGCCTGGCTTGGTGAAGCTCATAAAGGGAGAAGCCTGGAGCGCGACGGGATTGCCGGAGGTATACCAAATGACAGCCGAAAGACTCGAGAAACTGGCGAGTATGGAACCCGCACCTGCCATCGCGGTTATATGAGGAAAGGAGTTGGTACTTGCATGACTCGCGCACTTGAACCGTCCCTTTCCTTTCTCTTAGCTACCAAAAATAGCACGCAGAACCACAAGAAAACACGAACAGCGCACAACTTTCCGTAACCATGTCTGGGACGCTTGCGCGACCGCAATTTCGACCCCATCACCTGCAGTGGTTAACGAGCGTAAGAGGCGGTGAACTGTCACAGTCGGAACCGTGAAATCGCATGCCACAATCCACACTTTTCCTCTTTTCTTTCCTAACGCAGTAACTTTGTAACTCGTCTTCTGCTCGCCCTGGCATTAGATCGTGGTAGCGAGGCCGCAGCGGTAATTTGCTTGGTGTTGTGCCGCTGCGTAGCTTATTGGTTTGGGTGTTGTGGAAATTTGACACGGCGGTGTCGTGCTAGGTGGTTGTTGCCGGTAGCGAGGAAATAGGCAATATAACGGCAGGGGCGATAACGGTTTGTACGACCGTAAGCGCATGGCTTTGCATGGGAGGTTACATCTTCAGATTCTCGGTTTGCAGCCTTGTCTTTGGGGTCGTGACAGATGGTTCTCTGACAGCTCGTGGAAAGTGCGGGGTGCGCTCGGGCCGACATCGATGCGGCGGGTACGAATGACTTCACTCCGGACTATACATGTCCGCTAATATATACTTCGGATGACAGCCAGGACTAGACGAGAGCTAACACTGGTCGTACCTCAAGATTGTAGGACTACACATACTGGAAAGTTTACGTCATGTCTAGCCTACCAGACAACATCCGTAGGACGCTCGAAGTTCTACTCCCCAAGATCAAGTCGCAACATGAGGAGTCGTCAAAACCTATCATACTTGGTATCACCGGTCTGCAAGGCTCAGGCAAATCGACATGGGCATCGGAGCTGGTCAAGATTTTGTCGAAAGATCATGGCCTCCATACGATAACCGTTTCACTGGACGATTTCTACAAGACGCATGATGAGCTAGTGGCCCAGCGGGATCGTGATCCAAACAACAAGCTCTACCGTACTCGTGGACAGCCTGGTACACATGATGAGCAGCTAGCTCGGAAGTTCTTCGGTAGTCTGAAAGAGTACACCGGAAAAGGCGACCTCAAGATACCCAGCTTCGACAAGAGCAAGTACAACGGCGAAGGCGACCGAGCACCTGAATCAGAATGGCCAACCATTTCACAGAAGCCCGACGTTGTCGTCTTCGAAGGCTGGTGCGTCGGCTTCCAGCCCGTTGCACAGACTTTCATCGAAGAACGACATTCGCTGGCAAAAGCCGGGAAGCTCACGGTCAACACCCCTGCGAACCATCAGCTTCCCCACTTGTTCGAAGTGAACGAAAACCTCAAGCGCTACTGTGATGCTATCATGGGACCTCAGCACTTTGACTTCTTCATTCACATCGACACGGATGATCTGAGGAACGTGTACACGTGGCGGCTGCAGCAAGAGCACAAGATGATTGAGGTCAAGGGGTCGGGGATGTCGGACGAGCAGGTTCGCGCGTTCATTGATGGGTATATGCCGAGCTATGAGATATATCTAGAGCGCCTGCGCGAAGGACTATTTGATGATAAGGGTAGGATGGTTAGGGTGGTGTTGGACAAAGAAAGACGGGTTGAGAGGATTCACGAGCTGTGAAAGAGTAGGTGTTTACCTACCGATATGCAACCACTCTTGGGCGACTATAGTAGAGGACGAAAGCAGATAATGGACAGCAGAACTGGGATGCTGAACTGGTGATCATGAGATGGGGACATCCGCTTGATATCTCTTCGCAGCATGCGCTTTATCCAACATACTCGCTTTCACCATCGCCACGCTTAGTTCTCTGTCGTTCTAGGACAACTGTATTTACTAACGAACACCCCACCGCCAACGCCACCTCTTGGACTTTTGTATTTTTTTTTCTGCATTTGATCATGGCTAACGCGAACCACTATGAGGTCCTTGGTATTGATATCCAAGCTGATGACGCCGTGATCAAAAAGGCATATAAGCGAGCGGCGCTTGCGAACCACCCCGACAAGACCCTGCACTTGTCAACAGCAGAGATTGAGCAACGAACACAGATTTTCAAACTAGCGACAAATGCGCACGAAGTCTTGCTTGACCCGGCGAAACGAAAGGCTCACGACAGAACCCTAGCGTGGGCAGTGAGACCATCCAATGCACCAACTGCGCCACCTCCCCCAGCGAGACCTCCTCCGGCCCCAGCCTCAGATGCACCAGGCTTCCAACGACCGCCACCTCCAAGATCCGCACCGAGGCATCGCGACCCGTTCCAGCCACCAAGGTTCCACTACCCTGGTAGCCCAAGAGAACCTCCGCAAAGCAGGGCAACGCAAACACCACCTTCTCCTCCCCCTCCACCACCCCGAAACACCCACTTTTTCACCGCCGGAAGTCCAGCAACCTTTCCCCCGCCAACCCCCTACTTCTACGCCCCCGTAACAGAAACGCCCCAACGCACAACCCTCACCTTCTCCAACAACGACAAATGGGCCTTCAGCATCGACATATCAAAGAAGTACGAATGGACCCTGACTCCCAAACTCCCATTCCTGGGGGGAGAAACCAGGGAATGGATTGCGATAGAATTCCGCCTGCGCCGAACATCCACCTCCCCTGCCACCGTCTTCATCAGAGACGTCGTTTTAACCGTTGAGTCCACGCCTGACAACCGGAGTGTGGCGGTTAGTTCCATCTTCGCCGAGAGGAAAGACGGTATAAATCTTCGGATCACGCTTGCAGGGGTCGGTGCGGCGCCTACTCCTACTATACCGTTGCAGGTAAAGCAGTCTTGGATGTGGACGTGGGATGTAGACTTGGGCTTCCTGGTTCCGTTCTATAAGACGTTGAGAGCGACACACTTGATGTTTTATCCGCACTATCCGGCGCATGCTGTTGACGGAGATGGGGTGGTGCCGACCAAGGAACCTTTTCCGATGGGGTCGCCGGCGGCGGAGTTGGTGAGATTGTTTGAGGGGATGGTATTTGTGGGTATGACGAGGCAGTTCTATTGTCAGGAGGTGAAGATGGAGGGGAAGACGTTTTGGCAGCTTGCTGCTGTTGGGCATGTTTGAGCTATATGGCAGAAGTGCGATGCCGGGTTGGAGGTATGTTGATCATGCTATATGTTGTCAGCATGTGAGGTAATGAAAGAGGTCGCTGCTACTGCAAGGATGGACTACATTGAATAGCGAATTTGTTGATAAACAATAATACTCTTGATTCTATGCTCTTATGAAACCAGACCGCTCAGGACGCCAAATATGCAAATCATCTAAAAATAATCTATAGGACACCAGGGATGGGTCCTTTCTTCTCGTTGGAGCCCAGCTCTTCCTCGTTCCATCCACTTCCGGCGCCAACCTTGCGGCCGCCCTCCTCTCGCTTGATCCTGCACCAGAGACTGATGTCCTTGTCCCAGATGAACTGCCAAATAACGTACACCCAGCTCTTGTGTTGCGGCAAATCTTTGTAGAAGTCGTGCGCGATACGGTTCAACGCGTGGAGGCGCGTCCAGGGGATCGCAGGGAAGTCGTGGTGCTCGTTGTGCAGACCGACGTTGTAGGTGAAGAAGTTGAGAGGTCCGTAGTACGAGTAGGTCTCGGGAAGTGGGATCTTGTTGGCGGGGTTCGACGGGTCCTTCTTGGGCTTCTCGAAAACGTAGTGTTCGGCGATGAAGTGGCCTGCGCACGGATGGAGAGATCCGGCGAGAAAGCTGCTCATGATCAGGTAGCCCAATGCCCTTCCTCCTGCGAAGCTGACAAGTGCGAAGTCGAAGGCTAGCTGTACAACGACGTTGAAAAGGTGGATCTTGGTCATTGGCAGGGCGTAGACGAACATAGGTCGGAGGGCGTAGAAGAGGATCTGGAAGGTCGCGAAGAAGGCCTTGCCAGCGACTGAGTCGAGGAAGATTGCCTCAAAGGCAGTGGGCAGATCCGTGTCGAGGCCATTGACGCCCAGCGACTTGTGATGTGTCAGGTGGTATGGCCTGAAGGAGGCGCTGTATGGAATGCCAATTGGTAGGTTCGCAAACACAGCAAAGATCCTGTTTGCCTGGGGCGATCGGAAAGCCAAGTTGTGCGATATCTCGTGAATGGCGAGAAAAAGATTCTGGTTGGCCGTGGCGCCGATTACGTATGCGGTAAGAAAGAATGTCCATGATATGACGGGGGTATTGCGAAGGAGGTATGCGCAGAGGATTTGAATCGAGACGACGAGTAGGACGACGTATTTAGTGAGAGGCTCAGGGCCACAGAGCTTCGTTACCTGTATTCGGTTAGGTGATGCTCAATGGAAACATTTTGATAGTAATCATACCTCAGGGTGTGCCTTGATAATGGCCATTCGCCGGGTCCTATGGGGCTCTTCGGTGTATGTCCAGAAAAAGTGGTCGTGTTCGTTCGGGGCTTTTGGCTCCTGCTGGTTCTCCCCTTTGACAGTAAAGCTTCGGGGAACAGGCTCCTTTGACGGCACTGTCGCGGTAGAGACTGAAGACCGCATATTGGGCAGTCGTAAAGAACAATTGCAGAGTGTGTGAAGGGCGGAGGGGTCCAGCTCTCGAGGTTTGTGGAGTACTTGACCCTGAGCTTGGCGCTAGTGGAGGCGGTGGGGCGATCTCACGCCATGATTGGCTGACAATCACGTTCCGTTCGCCACCCCGCTAGCGCAGGAACGTTGAGCTTGCCTTCTAGAACACCAATTTAGGCCATGCTGAGGTCACCATTTTACGTGTAGAAGATATGTCAGATGGGCATTTTCATCTTCAATTCATCTGCATCTATAGATTGCTAGCCTCACTGTACCACTCGCCACAATGGACTACTTTCACCAGTCTTCAGTCGTCCGACTCCAAGTAAAAAGCCCATTGACTTCCCACGCCCTCTATATTGCCCGCGAATAGTTTCATCCCGGGAGAATACTTCTCTAGCCAATCCATAAAACGAGTATCACTCTGGTCCTTGCTGAATTGTTGGTTTGGGGGTCGGCAAATGATGAGACTGGGTTTCTTCGATCGTGGGGTGTTTGCGGATCCAGCGTGAGGTGTCTCCTCGCCCCAGGTGTGTCCAGCGAGGACTTGTCGAAGCGGAGTGGTCAGATTCAACGTAATGAACGCGTACGCATTCTCGTCTTGCCTTATTCCGTTCCATCCACTTCCGTTATTACTCGCGCGGACATTCACGAGTGGGCTGTGAGGTTCGGGAGGGTTGACGATGAATTCCTCTCGTAAAAATTTGATATCCCATTCCGTGTAGTATGGATCCTCGAAGATGATCTCCAAAGGAAGAGCGTCAGGACTTGGAAAACTACGTTAGTTTATATTCATAGCGATGGTTCAGACTTACGAATTGGCCAATCTTGCTTTGTGGAGCAGAGCGCAGATTACCACGCGCGCCAAAAGATGGGCTCTGAGGGCTTGAACGAACTCATCGGACTCGTCCTCTCCCATTACAGCTCTGTTCATTGTGCCCAGGCCCATTACTAGCACTCTTCGAATGGTTGTTCGTGTATACAATATGTTTCCCAACTCATCATCGTATCCAAATCGTTCTGGCTTGGGTCGGTCTATGGTGGAGTCGGGACGCTTTAGACCAGTGTAGCCGATCTTCGGCAACATCAGGGATGCTACCGGAGCGCCAAGGTTATGGTACCAATATGGTCTGATGTCTGGCGCATACCAAAATAGAGCGAATTCAGAACGCGTTTCTTTGATCCAAGGCGGACTCCCTTCGGCGAGCTCTTGAGTGGTAGCGTGCCTTCCTATACCCGTGTGTCCGACGTGAGCGACTTTGTCGTAATCTCTCCATGGTCCGCTTTCGTTGTCAGGCACCTGTGTGATGGCAGCCCTAATCATAGCCTTTTGTGCGTCAGGTATACAGTTGGTTGTTGCTGACGATTGGGCTTGCTGTGGTGCCTGCATGACGATGGACTTGTCTTCGTGGATTGTTGAGCTTGTGTCGTGGGAATGTATGTATGAATTCGGTGGGCAAAAGAAGAAACGTACCAGAGCTGCCTTTTATACTCCTCAGTCTATGACTCTAATATCGAATTGCTCAATACTACAGTTCTATCTATACGTTTATGACTGTTCAGTGAAACGTAGAACTCACCTCCGCGAGAGACTAAGACGGCTAAAACGGCCCACGAACCATCTGGTGCCACTGTCCATGAGTGCAGTAATACCTTGACTCATACAAGGTGATTTTTGCTCTAGTCCTGGTCACTCAAAGCGATCTGTTCAGCTCTGGTAACAGGAAGATCGCTTGCAGGCAACCGTGCAAGTGCCATTTTCGGGTATCTGAGGTGGTTGCGTAGTTCGCAACGACTCGAAGAACGTTGCACAATGATGCAACCTCTGGGCGTAACATGCGTGGAATGTAGCCATAGCAGATGCTCAGATCCTGTACAACCAATTTCCGAATTGACATGCATCACTACCTATCAGCTCTTTTTGTGAAAATATCTTTCCAAGGCAGCGGTCGCATGTCATTGTACACATGATCTCATCACACTCCACGTTCATTATGCATGAAATGTGCGTCAGCATAGCCACAGAGCGCTTGCACAAGATATATCTGTTTAGAAGTCTTCTTTCGAAACTTTCGAAACTTTCGAAACCTACAGTACGCTATACACAGTGGGTCAAATGCATGGTATATGAGATTTCTCTAGCAGTATTTCACCATGATCTCAACAGCCATAAGTATACTTTCACACCTGGTCGAACTCACGTCCCAGTCAAGTATCGTGCCTCAATATTCGCGTCCATGCCTAGAGGTTTAACATGAAATTTGTAGAACCAAACATGTTACCACAGTGTCATTCTATGGACTGCCAGCATCTAATTACACAACCTTGAGAGCCATGCCTCGACCGTCCCACCCTGTAGTATACCGCCAATATCCTTGTATATATCGTTACATCTGTCCACATTTCCCAATCATACCTAAGCTGAGCCTTGTAAACCCAGAGCTTCGGGACTATTGTCTTGACTTTCAGGTTTCAAGATGTGAAGCCACATTGCTCCGCCAAACATCTTGTTGTCCTCCTCTGTAAACTGATGTACAACTGAGTATCTGCTGAACCAATCTGCAACACGCTGGTCGGTTTTGTCTTCACCGAATTCCTCGAACGCGCGTCGGCAGATGATTGCACGTGGCATAATGGGATCTGCTTCTTCCGTCCATAGCTTCTCATTAGACCCCTTGTTGTATGTGTAGGCGGCCAGAATCTGGCGGAATGGATCATCGGGCTTGAAGGTGATGAAGATATAGTCCCCATTACTTCCGTGGGTGCCACGGAATGAACGCCCGTTACAATTGGGGATAATCTCGATGCGTTTGTTATCCGTATAGATTTGATGCAGGGTCCAGCCTTTGATATATTCCCTATCTTTGTCGACGTATCTGGAATCCTCATAATAGATTTTGAAGCCTTGAGGATCAGCCTAAAGTAAGGAACGATGTCATTAGTTTTGTGCCACGCAACTGATTAGGGGATTCAAACTCACTAGGTTATTCCTTCTCGCCTTTTTATGCTCCCGTTTACTGAGCGTGTAAAAGAGCGTGCGTAGAAAGAAGTGTGCTCGCACGTTGTCCTCAAAGTCTTGTTCTTCGCAGTCAGCGAGACTACCTAGACCCATTCCAACAAGGTTGCGGATATTTCCTCCCGCCTCCTTAAGAAAATCCACGATCTGATCGCCATTGTAATCTTTGAATTCGGGCATCCCCTTAAAGCCGTGCGCTTCGACTCGCGCATCGAGTTCTTCAAACCTCTCATAAACCTCGTTCTTACTACGTTGTGCTTTGTTGATATCTTCGTTAGTTCTGTCGAGAGCACGCCAGAATCCCTTTGGGACCTCCTGTTCCTCGATCTCTTTTGTGCTTGCGTAACGACCAGGATAAGCACCAGGGTGTATGAGACTGCCATCCTCAAAAGACCAAGGGTTGTGTTCGTAATTTTTGACCTTAGTCAACTCTTCCGGCTGGAGCATAACGGAAGATTTAGACATATTGGCTCGTGGATAGACTCGAAGGTAATTAATCAAGGATTCCGTTGGTATAGTTGATGCTGATCGGCTTGCCGTTGATACGTATGGCTTGCTGGATTAATCGTTGGATTCTTGAATGCTGGTTCGGTAGCGTTAAGTTAAGAGACTGGTGACCAGAGAAGGCCTTTTATAGTGCTATCCAAATGACTCAACTCAGAACGAGCATCATGGCGGAAGAAGGAGTGAGTCTGGCTGAGTGGCCCGTGGTGTCAGATACGGCTGGCGAGTCACCTTTAGTGTACCCAGCAGCGGCTCGTGGTGTTACTGTTACTGAACCTTTTTGTGCTACGATACAGGAATCGATATGACTCTAACAGAAGCGAATATCCGTGATAACCAATCGTTGGCGCGTACCGTTGAGGGCCAACTCGACACAAAGAAACTCAGAGCTTTGACACGACTCAGAAAGTGACTCTCTACGCCGCACGAGCACTGAATCCCGCCCCAAGATGCACACTCTCGACATATGACTCTGGTCTGACTGGGTATGCTGGAAAACATGCGAGCAAGTACCGATCAGCACCGGCACGAGTCGGGTGTGTGCACGTTCACCATAGCACGAGATACTCAGGAATGTAACGCACAGTCAACCTGGATGCTTTTGCTACGGTGTGCCGCGTACGACATATGAGCGGGGTATCATAATCTTTTCGTTCCTTTCACGTCACTCCATATTTCTTTCCCAATATTCTTCCAGTTCCCGACCTCTTCATCACTTCTCTTTCTCCTGGTGAGGCCTGATCGCCTGACTTCCACGAGCCATACCACGCCCCAGTAAGCGACCGACAACGACACTAGTACATATGCCAGCCATGCGATCAGAAGCACGGATGTACCTTGATTCAGCTTCCCCCCAGCAACATCGATGATGTCACCAGCCACCGAGAAAACCCCAGATATCAACACCGTGAGCAAGACGGCGGCGACAAAGGCGAATGCGCTCGCAAGGAATGGCCAAAAGATGTTGAAGTAGGCGAGAAGTTTTGAGTGTGGAAAGATGATGGCTGGAATGGCGGAGACGGCGGAGAAGCCAGCACCGACGAGCGAGACGAGTAAGGAAGCGAAGACGGTGTATCGTACGCCGGCCAACACGGTAGCCATAGTCCTCAGGAGTGTCGAGACTAGGATGATTGGGGAGAGTGGGTCTTGAGACCCGTTAGTTGGCGTTGTCAGTGTTATTAGCCCTACAGAAGTATGGTCAGTCGAGCCTCAAACACCTTCGTAGTTGTGTTACTTACTGTCGCTGGCTTCGCGATAGCTTTCGCATAGTTCTACGACAATAGTATCGGAAGCATCATCTTGAGCATCGGAAATAGAGCCCGAACAAACTGTCCTGAGGTAGAGATAGTAGACGTCTGCTAGTGTCTCGCCGTCCACGCTTTCCGATCGTTGCGATGTTGCATCTAACTGCGAGCTCTCTCGGGCGATCGTAGTTGTATTCAGCTGCAGTTCGTCAACATCTGTCTTCATTTCACCGAGGTCGGTATACGTACTGCCACGATGTACTGTCCACCAAACATATGTTCATCGCTCCCCGCCAGTACCAGTACCAGCGTGAAGACGAAGCTTGCGACCGCGAATGCGATCGAAAGGATCGCAGAGAACCGGTACTTCATCAACACCCTCTTCGGTGTCTTGGGCGGCGCCGGCAGGGCCTTGTCGGTAGACTTCCGCAAGTCTCCAAGATCGGGCTCGATTGCGATCTCTTTCCCCGTGTAGAAGGTCTCCTCTATGTGATCCATCTTGCTCATCGACACACCGTGTGGTTGAAAGGCGCTAGCGGCGAGACTGACAGTGCTGACGGATGTCAATACATAAGGACGGGTGTATGATGTCCATAGCAGAAGACATATGCACTGTCGCAGAGAGATGATAAGTAAGGCGCTTCAATATATGTGCAGCATGACGCAACTGTTCCTGGTTATCGGGAATCTTCAATCTCGATGTCTGGGAAGCATGGATGTACGTGGTAGGCTTGTCGCATGATCATAGTGTTGCATGATGGACCTGCTATATACCGTCGCGGATACGGCACATGTAGCCTTGCGCGGGGATAGACCGGTGGTTTCAAACAGCCTGCTAGTCGCCAGATCGCGATGGTTGTGCGAATTTGGCGATCAGCGTTCCTGTTTCGGCGTCGCAGGACGTGGCCAAAGCGTGGCATTGAGCAACAACCAGCTTCAGATGGATGGGGTCTGAGATGTTTCGTCGACATCCAAACAACTTGCGCATGGCCGGGCCCACGCATCGGGAGTATGTGTCGTGCCGGACTGACAGCGGTCGTGAAGTTCGCGAATGCGAGGTGGTAGCTTCCGCAGAAACGGGGAGCGCTTCACTAGTGCGACTGAAACGCCGAACTTTAGGAGCGACGATCGTGGCCTCTCCACATAATGCTTGAGCGATACCACGTCGCTCAAGTACATTTGCCAAAGCCTTTTGGTTGTCGGAGAGTGACTGAGAGTTGGTAAGATACTCGAACGCGCAGTTTTTCTACTGCTAGAAGAACGATCCTGGGGGATATTGTCCAAGAGGATGCGGCTGGAGGTTGGGAAACGCATCGCCCTAATCATGGGTTAGTCCAACAGCACCTGATGAGCCGAGCTAAACGTACCCAATCGAGAGGTAAGGTATACTGGTCCAGATCCATCGGCATGAAGCCAAAATCGAATGGGTGACCAAAAGCACTATTGCCCATGTCAAATGCATCCGAGTCGGGAACAGCGAATCCAAGATCGTTGGTGTCGAAAATCTGGGATGGGGAAGTCAAATCAAGTTGGGCACCTATGTGAGCCGCTTTCGATGACGTTAGTAGATGTAAGCGGGTAGTGAATAAGATGCGGCTCACCGTGCGCCGAATCGGTAGCCTGTACCCCACTGCCGTGAACTTTAGAGAGAACAAGCTTCACGGCTGTAGCAACCTTCCGTGCCTCCTGCGATCTCTTGCTAGCCCTGATCCAGATGTGATAAGCGGAGCGCAACGACGCGACGATTTCCTCTTGCGTCGGGGACGCTTGGTCCAGTTGCGCCCCGCTTTCCATAAGCTCAAAACCCAGTGGGATGGGAGCAATGAGTTCCTCATCAAGCTCGACTACCAAGACGGTAGTCGCGAGTAAGAAGTCTTGCGCAATAATGGAAGACATGTACCAGCTCAAGGTAGAGAGACGCCACCCTGGTGAAGTTAGTCGACCTCCTGGTTGGACCTCAGCGTCAAGCTTGCTCTGGAGGCGGAGCATCTCTATAGCAGCGTTCAAGCAGACCCTGCGGGAGTATGTATATCTGCTATCGGTTCGACCGAGTACGAAGTAGGGTCGATGCAACATAAGCTCGGCCTTCAAGAAGGCCACGTTCAAATACGTGTAGCGCATGAAGTCTGGTGATAAATCGGTACTAAGATCGTCGAAGGTGTTCGATGCTGGCGATTGTGGTATCTTTTCGAAGACATCTCTTAGTGTGGCGTCCATCTCCGTGATCTCTCCGTACGGTGGCAGCGAGGTAGCATTGACGAGATCTACAATCCTGGCCTGCACACTTCGCAACCTCGTAAGAACGATGGAGTAAAGCAGTTGCGTCAACTCAGTTTCGGGCCTTGAGGGTGGTAGTTCTAGCATGTCTTCGTGAAGGTCGTCTTCACCCAAGTTGCGGGGCTCTTGAGTATCGTACATTTGCGGCATGATCGTCCGTGGCAGTCCGGCTTGAGAAGAGGTGGTTAAATCTAGCGACATGACTACGAGCCATTTACGACGCCTCAGCTCACCTTCGTGAGGCGAGATGTTCGGAAATCTCGACGGGTCCCTGTGGTATCCCATTCGGAAACAAAGACGTACAAGCATGCCAACAAGCATGTATATGCTGAACTGGCTGTCGGTTGAGCGTAGAAATTCGGTACCAAAATACAACAAGAACGCTTCGATCGTGTATGGCGGTGTTTTGGTATAGTTTGCAAGAATCATACCTAGATATCGACGTGCGGACTCAGCAATTGCGTCACATGTAGTTTGTACTCAGCTTCTGCTTACATTGCGCAGCCTTCTCGCGATAGAAGTTGATCCGCACCAGGTCGGCGAGTTCAGTATCGCCAAGCTGATGAGTGTTCACCGCGACTTGGAAGCGAAAGCCGAGAGCCAGTGCAGCGTAAAGTACACCCAACCACATCGTTGAAGTTTCGAATGGTTGTTTCCACAGCTCATCGTACTGTATGGCTATCAGCTACCAGAGGTGGAGATGACCATATGGTCTCACCTGTTTGAGAAAGGTCGGCTTGTGAATGAGGGCTGGAGACATCAGTGGGCACTCTTCAATCGAGGTAGTGAACATACTCGGGTGTGATTCCATTGATATGAAGAATGTATCAATGAGTCGATCCGCTTCTGACCGTGGAGGAAGAGCAGCGAGGAGCTCTTCTCTAGTCGCATGGGCATTACGTCCAAACAGCAGCTCTGGACCGGGTACTTCATTCACCACTTCATCATCCGGATCGGGCGATACGGGCACCTGGTCGAGATGTTCGCGCAGCTCCGATATCTGGGCTGGAATTAGAGAGGTAAGAGTCTCTGTGAGAGGTTTCACGTACGCTATCAAGTATGCTTGTCCAATGTCCACTGTTCGTATAGCTTGTTGCATCGCAGCTGAGATTTACGCGATCCGGCGTGCCAGGCAAGTCCCCATTGTTTCCTCCGTTATGATGTTGCCGCGCTTGTGATGGGCTGGATAGCGCGGGGTTAGCTGTATCAACAGGATTTCCACCGATGAGGTTGGTGACGAGCTTTTCGAGTTGGTCAATCCTGTCATGGACGCTGTTCGGGATTTTGGGTTCCTTTTGCACTGGTGGGTTGCGAACATAGACGCACGACAGCGAGAGTCCGCGATCGACACATGTTTTGCATGGCTGTTGTCGATCACATTTCAACCTCCAGACAATTAGCATGCAATTCTTCCGGTCAGGTGAGCTGATTCTTTACTTGCGTCGTCGACAAAGGGTGCAACTCAAGATGGGCTTGTCTCTTCGTCGACTTGGAGGTACCACTCTCGGCGTCTGACCATCAGCGCTCATTTCGAGTGGTAGTATCACAGTGGGTCAAAACAAGGCGTAAGGGCACAACTCGCGTTGTTACGAAGATGCCTTCGGGGCGGCCATCATCCCCGATGCCGAGGCTAACCGCTTCGGCCGAACACCCCCCGCATTCCATCTCAGCTTACGTCACTGTCAGCAATCATAATGCTCCTAGTTCGCGACTGCACCGGTGGAGATTATCCTAAAGACCGTTCCAAGGTTGCATTCTAATCATCCTTCTCGTTGTCCGACCATCTAAATCGCTGGCACACATGCTAAAGCCGCCATCTATCCAGTTCCTGCTCCGCCTGGTCATTGCCTGTGCTCCACACGGGCACAGTTCCGATCACGCGATCCCCGACTCAGCTTCCGGTGGCAGTCAATAGACTTTTTTTATCCAAGGAATCCGGCTGTCGCTCCTAACTTTCGGCATCACTACAGACTATCATGTGCCCATCCATCAAGCGATTACAGTTACGACCTATCTTATTTTTCTGGGTTGGGCGAAGGTACCTTTTCGAAGTCTTCATCCATCCTAGAGGTATGACATCCAGTTCATGTCCATGGAAGTATGCCTGTAAAGCAGTGCCCCAAAACAGGCGCCACGATTCGGATTTGACATTCCGGAGGCCGATACGCTTAATGGCATGCTGGGGCGCGCGTTGAGAATGTGGAACGAGGCGACACACAGGTTTGAGCCAAATCGTGGTAATCGTCCGGTTTTGCGGCGTGGACAGAATGGACGTTAGGTCTTCCCACCTCTTGAAGTCTCCGATATCGAAGGTGGACAAGCGGTAGAAGAGTGGAGTCGCTTCACAGCGCATTTGCTTACATGCGAAGAGGAGGCCAACAGGCTCGCGGTTAGAGATTGGCGCACCTTCGTATGTGGACGAAACCGACTTGATCGTTCTGCCTAGACAGCTGTATTCCCAGATTTTATTACGCAGCTCACCAGGAAGCCGAAGAAGAGCCGAGGTAAGCTGATTTCTCTTTGTACTATGCCTATTAGTGATTGATCAACGAACATGCAAGGCCGCTTACATGGCTTGTATTCTACTGGGAGCCATAATCCAATCCTGCATCTCTGATGTGAGTGTTGAGGACATATTGGTGGTTGGAGTTGGACACTTGAAAAGAATTATGAGAGAGTGTAGGTGTTTAGATGCAACTGCGGTATCAAGGGCGCGTGGGGGTTTAATGGCAGTGCCTCAGCTCAAGCTTTCCAGGAGCATACGATTTTCCATTCACCCCCCGTGCCTTGACGACCTGCAATCGACCCGATACATACGTCGTGAAAACGGAGTAAGTCACTAGCAACTGACAATGACCAGAATCGGCTCGCCTTCACGGTTGTCCATCATCGGCAGCTCTCAGGGCACCCTCCAGTCCTGCCTCAAATACAACCTCGATGGCGGGCTTTCCATATACAAGGCGCAATGCGCGCACAAGGTGAGCCCTAGTATCGGAACTGAGGGCTGACAATTGTAGCCTCGAACCTTTGACGTGAACCGTGTTCAAAGCCGGGAACGCGTTTGCGTTAGCCCTCCCTTGAGGTTCAACCTCTTCCTGGAACCATTTCGCCGGGTAAGCCCAGTGTACATATTGGAATTCTACCGACAACATAGAGGTTTGAATCGAGGTGATCCGCGCACACCGCTCAGCTCTAATGGCGACGATAGCGGCTTCGTGGCTATAAGGCATGGCCAGTTCCATTTCGAAGGTCGCTGTAGAATAGAAGAGTGAGTTGGCTTCGTGGCGGAGCTGCCGACAGCAGCAAATGAGACCGATAGGGTTGGTCGCGCTTTGTTCGCCTTTCCGCGGATGCATACGTATCATAGAGCCTGTAAACGTGAATAGATAGATGAGGTTGCGAAGTTCTGCAGGAAGTCGTAGAAAAGGCGATATGAGTTCGTCAACCCGCGCACTATTCCAGTTAGCAATTATGTCCCCGTGCCTTGAACAGTATTGTACGCGTTAGCCTTCAAGGTGGAGATGCGAGCTTACATCTGGTCGCCTGTTGTAATCGTCAGACCAGTCGACTCGGGGTTGAGCGCCATGATGCAGTGGTCACTGTAGCAAAGCTTAGTTGTTATGTTCGCGAAGTGGGCGCCAGACAATAGAGGAACGAAAACGGACAGAAGTGTTGCCCTTCAGTCTTCATGGTCTGCCCGAACAGGCTAGGTGATTCGTAGGTAGGTAATGACGTCATTGGCTGCTACCTCTAGATAATGCAGCTTCTACCATCTCACAACTAAGCAGACATGTGCAGCGCGGAAGCTTTGGCATTGCCAGAACGAAGTTCGCGGCGATTAGTCATGCTGTCTACATGTCATCGAGAACACAGATGTCGCCAGTCTTCGCTACACACCTGATGCGTCGCTCGCAACCCCACGCGCGGCCTTCCACCTCCCAAAGCATCATTGATAGTTTGTCCGGCCTACGAGTTCGACATCCGACTCCGAAAAATCCTCGCGCTTGACTTGGATATCGATAGCCTTCGAGATACCACCCAGAGACAGTCGATGATTTGATCTTCGCATACGATAGCGATCGTCACTCGAGACGTAGCTGCTCTTCCCGGAGCCTGAGGATGTTCTATATATCCTTGGAATCGTATGCTGGTACATCGCATGCATGGCCGGCATGCATGCGACTACGATAAAGAGGTTGGCTTCGGTTGCACACCAGTAAAGACCGGATACGTTGTCGTCTATGATTGCGCGGTCAGTCATTGTGCAGCCAAAAGGAGGAGCAGTACTCACAAGTCGGATTTGAGCTCTGATCAAATCGGACGAGAGCCCACAAGCGAAGGCAACTGACGATGAAAATGATGAAGCCCACAGCGAACATAGAGATAATCTGGACCTTCTTCTTCCAGGACATCTGTAGTCTCGCTAGCATGGGCAAAGGCAACGATAGGATTGCCACGTCGAGCATGATCTCAATGGCGCCGCGAATGAATCCAAATAGCCGAACGTCGACGGTGCATCGGCCATTTGTTTCGCCTTTCCACCCGTCCCAGAAGAATGAAATAGGTTGACATTGAAAAATCATGGCTCCTGTATTGCCGATACCGAAGCAGGTAACAATCCCCATCAGGACAAACGTGGTCGTGCGTAGTTTTGGCGAGGTTGCGATCCGCAGGTAAAAAGCCAAGATGGACAGTTGACAGAAGGCTTCTGCGATTTGGTACATGAAATAGCTAACGTACAACCACTGCAGCGGAATTTAGCTTCATAGCGGACGCTAAAGGCGAGGCTTACCTTGAAGCTATTTGTTATCGCCGGTGGCGATATCCCCCACATGTCTCTTCCGAATCCGAGACGAGCCGCTAGGAGGCCCATCAGTCGACCATTTCATCTATAGATGGAGTGTTGGGAGGGATTTACCGACAATGACAGGGACGTTCTGAAACAACGAGGCCAACTACCCCTCGTCAGCTCTAGCGCCCTGCACGCTCAACGCTCATGATTTACCCCAGCCAGCCCGATGAGTAGGTCGTCCAGCCCAAGCTTTGCGTTGGCTGAAAAGAACCGATCTGTCAGTCGCAAGATAACCATTGTTACAGCAAGAGCGCCGATAGATGTCGTGACAGCGATCATTGTCTCGCTCTCGTCCCTGATCGGTATGCCGCAAGCCGCGTAGGTTTCGTTGGTCGCACTGAGTGATGCGGTAACAGTACAGTTTTCAGCATTGCAATTCGCGAATGCTGTCTGGAAGGTGGTGTCGGCACACAGACAGTCGAAGTTGTCGGGCTTGCAATTGCTCGAGGGTATAAGAGCTTGGAAACACTTTGCCTGTAGTTCTTAGCCGCTGGTGCCACGAAAGTTCGGTCATCGACTGACTGCACAAGTTGGTAGTTTTCGCAAAACATCGTCTTGTGCGAGTATATGTAGCACTAAGATGGCGAATGTCGCAAAGTACTGGACGAACTTCATCGCGACGATGATGGAGTGGGAAGATGCGCAGCAGCGCAAGATTTGTTACCAACAAAGCGCTGGGAGTATATGTTCAACACGACGCATGATTCATGGCTCAGTTCAGCGACGATGCGTTAAGGGGGTTACCTTCTTGAGCGTCTGACAGCTTGCAGGATCCGATGGATCATAGCCGTTATTTTAGTCGCCCCGTCGAATTACCATGCCTCGAAAAGATCCGCGCGCAATGGAAGATGATCACTGGTAGACTCCAGGGCTTGCCATTCCTTGACAGGTCTGTGCCGCAACCGATAACATTGACGTCCAGGATTTGATAATTTTACCCTTTCGACACGGCCCAAATCCTGCGGGATTGCTACGCTTTATTCTACTGGCGGAAATGTTCTCGAGCACTTTGTATTTGCATTGATGCGGCGCAGCCGTTCTAAGCGAACCGTCATCACGCAGGAAGATACTGATATGGCGAAGGATCTGGCTTGGCAGGACAGGTATATCTCGATCATTTTACAATCCCGGCAACTGCCTTTCCTCATCACTGTCATCACCATGTCTATCGTATTATCAGCCACGATCGCTATTGCTTTCGCTGCATTTGCCATACTTTACGCCACCCGTTGGCATCTGGAGAGAAAGAATGCGAGACCTCTTCCCCCGGGCCCAAAGGGCCTCCCGATTATTGGAAATGTCAACGATATGCCCAAATCCGGCATGCTTGAGTGCCACCACTGGCTACGACACAAGGATGTCTATGGCCCTCTTAGTTCCGTCACAGTGCTAGGGCAAACTTTCATCATCATTAACGACCCTGAGATCGCATTCGAGCTGTTGCGCGATCGCTCAGCGATTCATTCTTCGAGACCCAGCCAGACCTTTAGTGGTGACATGT